ATATCCAGGGGAACAATCAGATTTCCTCCTAGCCTCTCCACCAGTACTTGAATGGATTGCCAATCTTGACCTAAAATTATAGTATTGTATTCTAGTATATTATATTTGTAATGTCCATCGTATTCTTATATTTCATGTGTTGTAATATAGCCATAAGATAAATATGATAAAATGCTAAGAACAGCAAAAAGTGTGTATAGCTAAATATAGTTTATGATGATGAAACAACTGATATAGTGAGGATAACTAAATTTCCTGGCCTAGAAATTTATAATGGCTTGAAATGGATAGCACATGATGAATATATTATACATAAATATATAAACAAATTCAGCATGCTTTGTTAGGAGGAGCAACATCATTCACAAAAATATATAAATAACATTAATTTGTTTATATACACTCTATCATGACATACAGAGAAATTAACAGACATGCAACAGGCAGGAAAATATTTAATACCCAATAAAAATCATTTTGAAAATTGCATGTGGTTAAAGGAGTAAAAATTGTGGAGAATTAATATACTCCTCCTTACTAGCAAATATGCAGTCTCATTATGAGCATTCAATGTGAAGAAATTTCAAAGAAATTAAGAGACACAAATTATAAATTAGGACACAAATATGCATAGAATCTGTTAACTTATTCATTCTGTATGCTGAAGCAGGTAACCTGAAACTTTCTAGAGTAAATTATAAGTATGCATCAAACAAACAACATGGTTAGTTCCTCATATAATCCTCAACCGTAACGCAATTCTCTGCTCGTTAGATATGTGCATGTAGCTGGAAGATCATGGCTTTTTTCTGCTCCTGGCCACCAAGTGCTTGTCGACAATGTCACCTTCTTCGTCTAATGATGCTCACAACAATGGTTGTCACAGACATTCATCCAGTAATTCAATAACTGGTCTTCACTCACTTTCAGAAGCCATTATGACAGCATAATATTATGTCATGTGAGTGATCTTAACTGACTCCTTGGAAACACTTTCACCACAGATCACATTCTAGATACAGTACTTTGCTTTCTGAATTCTGTTATTCTAAGAACACAAATATATATTTCTGTGACACATCCTACATCAAATGTAGTTCCTCTACATGATTAATAAACAGTAAACTAAAATGTAATTTTGCTGATCATAACTAGATTCTGGGGACAGTAGCTCAGGAAAATGCTCCTATTTTACTCTCATTAACTATTACTATAATAACAAAGGATTGTAATTGACTGGGTGCAGTACAGTGTTCCTTACCTGCAAACACGAGTGTGTTGAGGCCTTCTGCAATGGTGTGTGTCTCATTGCCTTCGTTCTGGTGTATACTTTCAGATTTTGTAAAATCACTTTCTAAAAAGTGAATGCTGCACAGATGCTTATTGCGCAGAAATTCTGCATTCTTCACACACATAACATAGCACTGTTTAAGTAATAAATCCTGCATATACAATTAAACGCAAATGTTAATCAACCAGCAATTATGTAGGATTTGAGGTTTTCACGGCAGTGGGTCTGAAGATTGCTGTCTTCTGGGTTGTTGCGCTGTGTAGTCTGGTAGATGTCCACCGGTGGATATCTACAAGCAATTAAATATAATTTATTATTATTCCACATCCAAAAACCAAATGTTTCCAAATCTGAATGAATGATTTCTTTGTTAGTTTGTACATATGGATCAAAGACAATAAAGTAAAAACACATTTTAACAAAACAAAATTAATTAAATTCTGCACTAACAACAAAACTTGTATTCATCTAAATATAGGGTATGATTATAAAACAATTTAAGAAGTGGGAACAGCTGCAACTCTTGGCCTACACACTGACAATAACTTAAATCGGAGAAAACATATTCAATATATTATCCTTATACTAAGCTCAGTACGCTTTGTTATGAGGACTGTCAGTTACATCACTCATGAAAATGAAAGCTTTAAAATTAGTCAACTTTGCTCATTTCCATTTCATCATATCTTATGCAATAATTTTCTGGGGAAATTCAACAGACAGCAAGAAGTATTTCGCACCTAAAAGAACATCATTAGAATAGTGGCAGGCAAAAAAAAGGAGAGCCTCATTAAAGAAATTGTTTAAAAAGTTTAATATTCTCCACTAGCCAATGAATTCTTGCTCTCATTATTAGCATTTATAGTAAACAACATAGGAAAATTTCAAACAAACTCAGACATCCACAACACAAGTACAAGATATAGATATAACCTTCATATATAAAACACTAATCTAGTAAATATCAAAAAGGAGTTTATTATAATGGAATTAGGCTACTTAATATTTTTCCAACCACTATCAAAAGTCTGAATCATAATATAAAGAAAGATTAAGCCAACACTAAAAAGTATCATCTCCTGTCTCACTCCTCCTACTCTACAGAAGAATTTACATTAACCAAAAATTTTCAGCTACTATAAATATAAGTAACAATTTTGATGCCTTTTTGCATAAGTTCTATTGCAACACTGTAGTAAACTATAAATAACTGTCACAACTATGCACTTATAGTCATATTACCAACAAGTATTGATTTTGTACTACAACATCCTTGGCTTGGGCCTATGCAGAAACAATCAAATCTAATATATTCTATTCTATTATCATAAAAGTCAACAACAATCCATCATACCCCTGATGATCCAGGCAGAAAGAATCTGTTAAAAATTGAGTTCCTGTCCAGAAATGACACTGTTTCTTGCCCAAGACAATTCTACCAAGTCAGACACCCTGAAAGCTTCTAGTTGTGAACAATTACAAAATTCGCAAAGATGTAGAATTTTGAGGTTATGTACAAATTATTAAACAGCACTAATGATAATTCTGTTACATAAATAACAAACGCAAATATAATACACAACAAATATACGGTATCAGATAAACACTTGGTGCCCAGAACTAGTTCAGAAAATCAAAATGATATAAAATCAAAATGTACCTTCCTTTGTGTATTATCACAGAATAACGGGCCTTGGAAGTAGTCACGGGTCGGGAACTGGACCCAGCCTCCAAGAAATCTTGGGCACTGAATTTTACTTCATTAGTATTTGTAAGCTAAATGCTCCTCTTGCAAAGGTTCTTGAGAAACCAGGGAAGCTCTGTAAAGACCTTACAAACAAGATCATATTGGGAGGGCCAGGTAAAACCCTGGATAGAAGAATATCAGCTTTATTGCAGAGAGGGCAGCAACACAAATGTGGGATTTGTCAACCTATTTGAGAGGCATGATACGCTGTGGAAGAATGGATGGGTTAGAAGCATGAATCTTCAGGTTGATCAGTCCAGATGGAGAGTGACGGGTTCACATTGGTGTCACTGACACAGCTGCTTTTGTGAGAGAAGACTACACAACACATGAGCTACACCTAAGGTATCAGGGCAAACAGAGCCTGATGCATCTGATTGATGAAAGAATAAGAGGTGGACATGTGTCAGGTGTTAGAAGCATTCCTGTTCTTACCCAAGCTAGAGCCTTGACTTTTTTTGGCTTAAACTCTAAAGCACAGAGGTGCTTAATATATTGACTGAATTACCTTAATTCTAAAAATTCACAGTAAAAATGTAAACTCATTGATTTCATTAATATCTTTCACAGAATATCAGGGGACTAAGAAACAAAAGTGATGAATCAATATATTCGAAACATCTCGTATCATGCCCGTAAGGTTCTTTTACATGCCATAAATCTATGACATAGGACCGCCGGCTTTACTTCCCCTCCGAAGGAAGTTGTGCTATGAATTTTTATCACCCACGAACCTTGGGTCCAGTGGCGAGCACGCTAACCATTAGTCCACCGAGGGTAATTACTTTGGTTACAAAGTCATCATCTGTGGCTCTACAACCCAGTGTGCTTCTTGGCCACCTCTTTTTGGAGGTTACATAATCTATTTAGACATTTGGTAGGACTCCTTTCGACGAGCGATCAGCCCATCGCAGGGATATGGGGCACCAAATACTCTTGCCCTTGAGGTTCTGACAGTGGGCAAGAAGCTCACATGAGGGAGGCAAGGAGCGCATACAGAATTTTGGCAGGGAATCCTGGATAATAACCACTGGGCACATTAAGAAGGAGATGGGATGATAACGTCAAGATGGAACTTAGGGAGGTGGGCTGTGAGGATGGCAAATAGATGGAGTTGACAGAGGATCGTGGCCAGTGGCGGGCCTTATTGTTGTCAGTGTTGAACCTGTAGGTTCTGCTACAAGGCAGTTATTTAATTAGTTAGTTAGGCATAATAATTATCCAAACAAAACAGCATTTTACACTAAATATATTAAAATCCTAAATAATGTTATAAAAGCAGCAATACAATAGACTTATAGTAAAATCAGGTAAAACCTTAAATAAGAACAACATGGAATATAGTAAAGGGAGACAAGAAAAATACATTTAGCTGAACAGATAGCATCCCTTCTTATAAACAATGAAGAAGTACAGGTCCCAGTAACAGTTACTATTGCCTTCAATGTTCTTCTTTTCTAACAGTTACTGAAAGTCTAAAGTTACATCAAGTGTGGAGTGAAGATGCTATTTTATTTTAAGAGTTGCATTTCCTGCAAAATTTCCTGATAATAAAATGATTCCTGCCACTGTAACTGAGATAAAAGTATAATATATTTCCTCAATCAAAAACTCATTAGGATGTAATGAATTAAGAAGCAGCATTTTGAAAGTTTGTTCAGGTTCAATTAGTCAGCCATTGGCCCACATTTGTAAACACTCATGATGCACAAGCATTTTCCCACAACTTCTAAAGAACTCGGTAGAAAAACAATGTGCAAAAGGTGATAAAAACTATTATGACAAACTCTAGGTTAATTTCACTATTAACTACTTTTTCTACAGTACTATAGAAGGTTACATACAGTAGGTTAAACCATCGAAAACCATATTGATCACAGAACAATTTGGTTTCAAGAAAGTTATATCCACTTAAGATGCAGCATTCAAAATAACAGATGTGTTAAAATCTATTTACCAAAAAAATATATGCTGCAGGAGTATTCCGTGATTTTACACAAGTATTGGAATGTGTAAAACATGAAATTTTACATAATTACATTTGTATGTCATTCAAGCAACAGCTACAAATTGGTTAAGATCCTACGTAACATAAAAAAGGTCGAATTAAAATTGCTGTATATTTGTGGATTTATTTTAAACAGTTCATTACTTTCTGAAATCTCTATTTATTCTGTGCAAAAAGTTTGAATTTGAATTGTATATATGTATACTACTTCTATGAATTTTTCCACTCTCTATGATAATCACACTAAGTGATGGATCCACGAAATATGATATGACTGTATGTATGCATGTAAAACCTTCACGACTTTATCATAGATACCGAACATCGTCGTCGTCGTCCTGCTTGGTGTTCGTGGTTTTCCTCAATTCCTCCAAGAAAATGCAGGGATAATACCTTAAATTAGGCTACGATCGCTTCCGTCCACATACTTACCAATTCATTATTCACTATCATCTTCTCATTCGATGTTATACAGTCTGAGATATAGACAAGGCGTCTTTAAATAAAGAAAATGTAACGTACATAACCTAAAACAGACAACATGAACCAACCTTGCGTAACGTCAACGATTTTCGTAAACCTTCACCCACCTGCTTCTTGTATGCTTCCGTCGAGAGATCGAGATTAGTGGCACAGACGATTCAAAATGACTAACGACATCTTTCGTGTGTAGTGCATGCACGTGTTATCGTAACTCGACTTGTCAATACATGTCGCCGCGCCGTCGGCCGTGAATTATTATTATTATGATTATTTTTAGACGTCACGAGTGCGAATAACCATTGTTGTGACATGCAACAATTGTAAATCAACAACTTTAGTTTCCGCAGTTAGCAAAGAGAAGTCAAGTGTGTTAGTTCGAAGCTGTTCATTTAAATAGCAAATTCAAGAAGGAATTATATTTCATCCAACCATCATGTCAGAAGCAGTACACAGTTGTTTCAGAACACTCTCTGCAAGACTGGTAAGTAATAAAGAACAAGCAACCATTGGTTTAGTATAATTAATAAAAAATTCAAACTGTTTCAACACAAGACAAACCAGAAAGGTAAAATATTTGTGTTCGGATCATGATTCCTAGTAACAAGACTGGAAGGCCGCAAATCCTTACCGAAGCATATTTGCATTCTTAGCTCTCATAGTTTACCTAAAGAATGTTAACGTTCAGTTTGTGCGGGACATCCTTCAAGCGGCGTGTTAGTAATAAAGACCGAGCAGCCTTCGACTGCATAACACATTTTGTGGAAATAATTGTTCAGGTGTTCGGATACAAACCGTAGAAGACATGGGAATCATTTTAAATGCCCCTCGCCGTGTGGTTTAATTGTCCACGGATTAACACTCGTTTGTCTACAGGTAGAGAGGGACATTTTTAAACCGAGTATTCATAAGGAAAGTCTACATAAAGTTAGTAACGATAATTTAGTCAGAGTAGTAAATTTTGTAACTTTCAATAATCTAATTGTCAAAAGCATAGAGTCATAGAAGAATAAGAAGAATTGTCAAAAGCACAAATTCCCTCATCGTTATATTCATAAATATACTTGGACATCTGCTGATTGTGTCACACGTAATCAGGTCATGTTCTGACAAAAGTCAACGCGCTAGTACGTATATTAGATGTCAGATCTTTCAGAAGAGCTGACTGTGATACCGACCATCACCTGGTAGTGAGAAAATTAAGTCAGAGACTTTCAGTAAGTAAACAAGAATGGCAAAAGTTTGATTTAGAAAGATCTGATTTGAAAAAAAACTCAGTGATGCAGAACTTAAGGGAAAGTACCAGGTAGAAATCTCCAATAGATCTGCGGCTTCAGAAAACTCGGATGACAATCTGGATATTAATAGTGCATGGGAAAGTATTACGGACTAAATCAAAACCTCAGCTACGGCAAATATAGGATATCACAAACTATGGTTTGATGATGATTGCTCAAAATTGACAGACAAACGGAAGTGGGTTAAATTGCAATTGTTGCAAAACTCACGCCAAATCAATGGAGATAATCTGCTAAATTAAAGATACGAAACCAGTAGAACATTTAGGGAGAATAAAAGGAAATACCTGACAAACAAGCTTTCAGCCATGCAGCATGGCTCGGAGTGGACTATCTCCCCCATCTCCACGAGATTTGGAGTCACAGGCTTCCATGCCCTTATCAGGTAGTGCGGGGGGCGGTCTGTGTGTGTCCTTCGCCCAGGGTACATTGCCGGAGCTTGAGGACGGAATTTCCAGCCTGTTCAGGGCTGTGACTAATTTGCGTTTGG